GAAACAAGATAATATCTCATTTAAAAAATATCATAAGAGAGCAAGATTAGAGAATATTTGACATTCTTAGTTCATCTCACGAAAATAGATTCAAATTTTATATATGTTGCTGCATAGTTCTATTTTTTTTCTAACAGAGTAATTTGAAGAATTATAAAATTCATTTTTTAATCTAAACTAATATTTTAAATTCCTTTATCTATAAATCTAACTAAATTAATTTCAATTAAAAATTCTAATGAGTTTCAAACAATAATGATAAAATTAAACTTTCTATATTGGTTTTTTTAAACTTGATAAACAAGTATTGATTTCTCAAAATAGTGGAATTTATAGAAAATAAGTGATTATTTTGCAATCTTTAAAAATTAATACTAAAATATTAATTTAGAATTTATTGATGGGTTTCTTTTTAATTTGAATCATTTGGAAATTATTTAGGAAATCAAATAATATTGAATCATCATCAGAAAATTAGATTATAAATAAATTATAAGTCAATAACTCAAATTAATATTTTATTTAATGATATCAATAGTATATTTAAATTATAATTTTTGGGTTTAACTATATAGTGAATATTTATAATATATTATAAAAAAAGAAAAGAGAAACCAATGTCAACTATTTATTATACAGGTTGTTCGATATAAATAATTTAATTATACCCTATTGAATTTTGGTACAGATCTATAATATAATTCAATATACATTAATATCTACATATAAATTTCTAGCTATTCGCTCTTATTAACTGATACTCTTCATATATGTTTGATTGCAGTTAAGTCTTATCTATAAATTATATCTCATCGATGATATTGAATAATTCGAATACTGGTAGAAAGACATTGAGATTTATAATTAAATATACCAAATATTTTTAAATCTTTATCTTCTTAAATGGATGTTTTACAATTTGTCAATATTTAATATATTTTTTGGAACAGTTTATTTACTTAATTTTTATTGTATAATGTGCTTTTTAAAAGATGTTATTGAGACTTGAATAATTTTAGTAAGGTGTGTTGCAAGAAAATCATAATATACTCACTAATATTTTTTCTTTTGCTAATTTATCATCAATATCATTTTTTATTTAAAAAAAGAATAATATAAAAATTTATTTAAGTAAAAATATATATGGAAACTAGAATTATTATTAATCATTAATTCCAATCTATCTATTGATATATTAGTTCCAATACTAATTGGCTGATTATGTTTAAAAATTTAACTGTCAAATAAGATTTTATTCTTTTACATAAAATGATACAAAGTGTCTTCTAATGATATCAACTTGAAATCTGGATATTGAAGACCTCTTCCTGAGTCAGATTTAATTAATGATTGCTTGAAAAATGATGAATCATGTATTATGTGAGGAGTGTGTGCTCTTTTTTGGAATGGATAAAATTAATGAAGAAAATATTATCATTTATTTACTTTGAGACAAATATATTTTTTAAAGGTTTTTCAATAACCATGTGATTTATGATGTATTAAATAATTGCATTCTAGTATTAACCTTACCAATATTAAACAGATTTGATTTCAGGATAATTATGTTCGATTCAAATTATCTTAATTGTAAAATCTTTATAAATATAGATAATAAGAAGATTATGTATAAATAAGTAATCATTATTACATTTGCTTCAAAAAATGAGTAGGAAGATATATGGTTTAGACGTCATGATAATTAAATACTGATAAGAGAGCTTACATTAATAATAATGATTAAATAATAATGAATATATTTATTTCTTATCAAGATGTAATAAAAATGAAATTGATTATGTGTAAGGAATTTATGTAATGAATTTCCAATTGATAATATTTTTTTATCCACCGCTGGTTTATATCTTTAGATCAAAAGATAATGCTATGATTATGACAAGATATGATATACACATCATGATTTTTAAGCATTTTCACGATAATGCATACCCAACTGAGATATATACATTCTTATTATGTCTTATTTCAGCCAAAATTTAAAGGCATTTTGTTTTGAGGGAAGTATGTTTAAATAATTGAACTAATACATTATGCTATTGGAATGATGAGTAAAATAATTAAATGAATAAAGAAAGTGTATTTCTATTACAATAGGTTCATTGAAAACTGATGAAACCAAATGATTAATACAACTTACCAATCATGCAAATGGATAATATTTTCAAAATATATTGATGGTCTAGTATTATTTGAAAGTGTGAAAACAATATTTATATTTATTTAATTTAATCATTTTATTTAATCTTTTAGAGTCTGGTCAATTCAACTGAATTAAATTCTAAGATAATTTTTATGAAAATTTAAGTTTTTATATATTAAATATATAGAAGTAAAATATATTAATATAAGTCAAATACACTAAAAGAATAACAAAATTGGTTTATTAGAATTTCTAATCATTGTAATAGTATTATTTTCTCTTTAAATTTAATTTTGATGTTTATATAAGTTTGTATACTTTGATTTTATCATCAGCAAAAAATAATAATACTTTTCAAAGTGGATATTTATCATTTATTAGTCATTATTTCAGAAATTCTGGTTTTGAATTAAAAATATTTATGTATTCTATAATTTGCTTTGATTAATATAAAGAAATATATATAATAAATATTAATAAAAAAAAGAACAATCATTAATACATCTAATTTGAATATAGAAATTCTAATTTATATAGATATTAAAAATCTAATACTTTAGTCATGTTATTTGATAATTCAGTAAGTTATGTTAGAAAATAAATATTTTAAAAAATCACATATTTTTTATTTTTTCTTTACTATTGTGCTGTTTTGACTAATCAAAATAAAAAATGATAATATAATATTATAAAAAAATAGAAAATAAGTGATTTTCTCGAAGCCCTTATTTTGATTTTTTATCTATACTTTCTTATTTGATTAATATAATACTACTGCTTTTCATTTATATAATATATAATTCAGAATTAGATAGAAATTAAGAAGAAATATGTTAGTTAAAGTAATATTATCATTAATTTTTAACAAATATGCTGTTTTAATTCTTGATTATAAAACTAATATTTTTATAGTATTTAATAAATACTAAAATCATAGTAATTATATAAATGAAGATATATTGGATTTTAAATTTCTTGTAATTGCTAAATATGCTATATTCATTGTCTTTGCATTTCATGGATCCTTTTTATTAACTATCAACAAGGATGATTGATGTAGATGAAGATTTTCTAAATAATCAGGGGATATTCTATGGAATTTGGACTAAGTACAATCCATTAAGTATAACATAATAATTAGGACCAGTTAGATTAATGGATAGCAATTGTTTTCATTATCAAAATATAATGGGATAAAATTCGGAAAGAGTATTTTTAATATATTATGATTGTCTTTATCCTGAAACAAAGACTATTCAAAGATTTCTTACTTACATTAGTGTTAATGGTGAACAATTTATACATTAGGTTGAAATTGAGCCATTAGAATATGAAAATATTTGGTATTTTTTTCAACTGTTATACTGGCCTTCTCTGAATAAACTTGAAATAATTATGGTTAAGGAAAATCAATATTTATTACATTAAAAATTAGATGTTAATTTAATTAATGAAAAAAATTTGCTGATAACTATTGGAGGTGGACTTACTGTAACAAATTCAAATATAGATTCAATTTAAGTTGGATCAAAATTTTCATATTTTCCAGGAAGTATGTATTTTGTAACTTTTGGTGATATTGTTGCTTATTTGTCTCCTTTTGAAATTGATATAAACAATTTTTATATCTTTTTTGATTAAGTTTCTGAAGTTATTTGTTTTGAAAACAAATATAAAAAATTATTAGATAAAGATTTAGTTTGGTTGGATATATAAACTTATACTTCTGAAAATATTAATACAGATTCATTTATTTTAGATTGTTGGTTTAGAGTTGTATAAATAAATTAAATATAAGATGATTTTATTTATCAATTTATGTAGATTTTGCCAAATTTTGAGATGGAATAATTGTCCAATTAAAATTTATCACCATTTTAATTTTTCTATAAGATATCTCCTAATAATAATAAAATAATGATTACAACTTATAGTTACAATTTTCCATCTGTTACTTTAGATTTTAGTAATAAGGATAATAATTTTTTAATTCCTTATGAATTTGAATTATTTCATTCAATAAATCTATGGCATAATTTGTTTGTTAATTTAATATCTGATTAAATGTAAATAAAAATAGTTTTTTTTAATGAATATGAAAAATTTGAACACTCTACTACTATAATTGTCAAATAATTTCGAAATGTTTAATACAAATTACAATATGGAAATCTATAGGAATCTACTTAAAATTATCTCAATGTTTAAACTAGAAATATGATATTTTATAATTGTCAATAAGAATTATAATAATAAAATTGTCATTATACATGTTAAGATTGTGATGGTCCAACTTAAACAGACTGTTTATCATGTTCTTAATAATCAAAAAGAATATATTTATTAAATCATAAAGCATGTGTTTGTCCATATAATTATTAAGATGATTATATTAATTAAAATTGTAGATCATATACTGATTTATTATTCGATATTAATCCTATATAAAAATAAATTGGATGCAATTTTGGTTATTTTTAATTCGATAATTAGTGTTATTATTGGTATATATTTATTATATATAAGTCCTACATCAATTACTGATTAATAGATAACTTGTTTAGAATGCCTTCAAAATTCAAAAGATTGGAATTAAAATCCATATTGTTAAAAATCAGTATATATAAATCCCAATGGAAACACAGCAAGAATTATATCTGATAATGAATAATAATATTATGTTTTCAATGGTTTAGAATTATAAATTTGTAGATTTTGTAATAGATAATCTTTGTCAAATATTGAAAATATATTTGAAGACTTTTAATCATTGATATATGGATTTAAATCCTTTGCTTAAATTAGTAAGAAATAAAATTAATTAAAGTTTGATAAAAATTATCATTATGAATGCAATATTGATTATTGTGGTGTTTGTTCTATTAATTTATTTTAATTAGTATGTATTAAATGTTATATGGCTATGGAAATAAGAAATGGAATTTGTATATAAGATACCTTAAATGGAGTACCTTGCCTTAATCCATATTATATATCCTCAAATGGAGAATGTAAATTATGCAGTATTAAAAATTGCAAATATTGTTTTGAATATGTAAAAAATGATTTAAGTTAATGTACATTATATGCAAACTTTAAAAAATTTGATGCAGATGAATAATTAGATATTGGATGTGCACTTTGTGAATAAAATTATATTTTTGATTTTACTATTGGTTAATGTTTATACAAAAAGCCATCATTACCTAATTGTTTAAGATCATTTATCAATATTTAGAATTAGGAGATTTGTACATTATCATTGACTGATTTTAATATAGCACCAGAAATAATTAATTGTGAATCCATAATCTAAAATTGTTTATAATGTATTTTCACTCCTTAATCTGTGATCAAATGTATTATTTGTAAAAGTGGATTCACAAGTTCAATAAAATTAGGAAATTGTTATCCAAATTCACATGTTAATGCAAAAATAGTTATTGATGGAGATCAATAAATCTATGATGCTTGGGTTTAAAGAGTTTAAAGTTTTATGATGAAGTTTTTACCAAACTAATATTTTTACTAAAGATCATATATTTACTATAATATTTTTGAATTTCAAGTAGAATGTAAAGATAGTTATTCATTTGATATGTAAAGATTTTGTGTAAAATATTGTTCTTCTGATTGTTTGAATTGTCAACTTAAATATGATGAATATAATTGTTTAACTTGCCCTTTAAACAATTACTACTAGTCTAATCGTAATTAAGAATCTGGATAATGTGTTATATGTACACAATTATGTGATGTTTGTATAGAACGCTCTGAGTTAGAGATTTATGTAATTTATTTAAATATCATTTAGAAAATACAAACAATGTTTAAGATAAGTGAGAAAAACAAAATATATTCAAAGATATGTATCAAACCAATCAAAAATTAAAATGTACTTATCGATCCTATATTTTAAATTGCCAGATATTGTTATGATCCAAGCTGCAATTCAGAATATAAATTTAATTTTTATTATGAAGAAAACCCATCATTATTGTATACTAATATAGACTCTTTTGTTAATATAGATTATTGTAATTAAATAGGAACTAAATTCTTAACTTTATAAATATTTGAGAAAGAAATATATTCTAACATAGAAAAGAATTTAAACTTAACTAGTTTATTAAAATCTGAAATATTTGGTTTAGAAGTATTAAAGCTTGTTAATAATATAAAAATTAATGATTATTTGTCAGTTTATGTATTTGGTTTTGATGTTGTAGAATTAAATGATGCAAATTTTATATTTATGAATTAAAAATATTTTAAAGTTACAAATCAAAATAAGCAATTTAATTTGGTATTAAATAATGTTGTAATTAAACATAGCGATATATAAAATATTAAATCATTGATTGATTCAGAATCATTTGGAGATATTCAATTAAATAGCATTTAAATAATACATTCAATTTTCAATAATTCTTCATTATTGAATTTTTAATATCAATAATAATCAGGAAAAATAAGAATTTAAAATTTAATTTTGTAATTTTGCAACTTTACAAATTCATAGTTATTTTCATTTTCAAACAATTAAATTTAATTATCGATTAAATAATTAATTATAGATTAATGTTAATTTGTAAACTCATCATTTATAAATTTTTTTACTAATTTAGCTGAAGATAGTAATTTAGAAATAGAAGGAATAATTGTTACATCTAACAAATTTGATTAATCTTATCTTTTAAATAGTACTAATTAATTACAAATCCAAATACATAATTTAGTACTAGATTTAAATTAAATAGAGTTATCTACTATAATAGGTTTTTATTCTAATTTTACAATAATTCAAACATCAATTAATAATAATAGTTTTTTAGACTCTTAATTTATTGCATCTTATTAAATTATAACAATGAGAAGAATGCATTGTATTATTGAAAATTTAAATGCAAATGATAATATTTTTTTAAATTCAAATCTGATTTTAATATCATCTAGTTTATCAAATTATAATATGTATTTTTATTTAAGATAAATTTAACTTAAATTCAATAAAAGATAAGTTAATGATCAATAATTAGTTAATTTAATTAAAATTAATTGTTACCATTTAAAAATTGAGAATATTTATATAATTAATTCACAAAATTTACGAATATTCTATCTCATTGAAATAACTCATCTATTTGCATAAAATATTGTTTTTGAAAATCAAATGATAAATTATAAAGTACCTTTAAATCTTTATTGTACAGATTATATTACTTCTGAAAATAAGCTCTTCTTAATTTATGGATACAAAATAGTGAATATTTAGAATATTAAAGTAATAAAATAATTTAGTGTTGATCAATCCTTAATAGAAATATCATCTAGTAGAAATATATCTAATAATTAATAAAATATATTAGAGTTAATAGATTTAGAATTTGATGGAAATTTATTATTATAATAAAGTTAATCAAATTTATTCTCACTTATTACAATAAATTCTGAATAGAATACTCATATTTAATTTTAAAATATTATTTTCAAAAAAAATGTCTTGCATTCACAAACAGATGATTCATTAGAATCTTCAACAAGTTTAATTTATGTAATATCAATTACAGGAATTATAGAAATAAATAATCTTTACTGTTAAAATAATGCACTAACTAATTCTTCAAATTCATATATATTTTTGAAATCTGAGATCATTAAAATAAATAATTACTCTGTTTCTTAACATAATATTTTACCTTTAAAATTATGGAAATAATTTTATGATTTATAATTAGAAGAGAATGATTATATTTATGATTAGGAAGATATAAATTTAATTATTTAATAATCTTTTAATATAAAAAACAAATGTGGAGGTGGATTAATTACTGCATCTGAATTTTATTGTTTTGATTGTTTATTTCAAGACATAATTGGAGAAAGAAGTTCTGTTTTTGAAATAAAAACATAAGGTGATGGAATTATTAAATTGATAAATTTAACAATATAATTTTTGGATTATGATTTGAGTAAGACCATTTCAAGTTCAGGTTGCATAACAATTTATTCATCAAATAGTTTACTAAATTTAACAATTAAATAGGCTATATTTTTAAGTATTTTCAATCGTATGGCATCTTCAATCTTTACAATTTATCCATCATTTTTAAATAATAATATTCATATTTAAGATGTTAAAATTACTAATTGTATTTCATTAAAGAATCCAATAATCAATTTATAATTTTCATTATAAAGTATCAATTTTAACAAAGTGATTATGGAAAATATTTTGATTTCATTTCAAAAAGAAAATTGGATCAAATATTTTGAAAAAACTGGAATGCTTAGTTAATTTGAGATGATTGATATTACAAGGACATCTAATGCTTTAATCTACTTAGAGAATTGTTAAGTTATTATAAGAAACATTATTATTTAGGGTCTTTTTAGTTGTCCACTAATTAAATTAATTAATATTTCAAGACTATTTATTTCTTAATTATTTGTTGAAATTGAATAATTTTATTCCTTCAATCTTTTAGAATTAATTCAAGATCTTAAAATAGAGTAAACTATTTATTTTTAATATGTGCATTTTTAACACATTAAAACTTATGAAAATATCAATAATACAATATTTCACCATCCAAAAATTAATTATATAGTTTAAGGATGTATTTAGATTGAAGATAAACTTTAAAAACCTATAATTTATTCTTTTGATTCTATCATAAAATTAATGTAATAAACATAATAAGAAATTTCTATTATGTTATTAATATCTAATTCAAATAATACTCAATTCTCCTTCTAGAATGTGATAATCAAATAAAATAATTGTACTTATTGTTAAAAAGGGTTGATTTATTTGAAAATTGAGAATTCTAATAAACTATAAATCAGAAATCTATTTTGTAATAATAATTATATCTAATAATTTGGATGTTTAAATATTATGTCAACCAATTACATCAATCAGAATATTATAATATAGGATTCTAATTTCTTTTATAATAATGGAAGTTCTGGTGTTGGTATATCTTCATTAAACTTATCTATAAGAATTATTTAGTGTAAAATTTTGAACAATATAGCTAGTAATTAAGGAGGTGGTTTATATTTAGAGGTGAAGTAGAGAAACTTTTATATTAAAGAATCTATAATAATAAATAACTAAGCATTTGAAGGAGGGGGCATATATTTATATGAAGATAGTATCATAAATAATTAGAATTTTATAAAATCATTTTTATATTTTAATAAAGCTGAAAGATTTGCAGATAATTTAGTAGAAATTCCAACTCACTTAACTTTGTTTATTAATTCTTATTAAATGCAATCAGAAGATATTAACATTAATAACATTACTATAAGAAGTTTGAAACTTAAACCATATAAAATAATTGAATAAGGAATTATGAAACAGAGTAAATATTTGATGATTCCAAGTAATTAAATTGTTAACAGTTATTAAATTTTGATTCCATAATTACATATACAAAAGAATATATTCGATCATATATCAATTGCACTAAAAAATAGCAGAAATGAATTATAATTGAATGTATAGGCTTATACTTGTCAAGTATCATAAACAACAGTAAAAGAAAATCAGATTTAAAATTCAAAATTAAATGCTAATCTTAAGTCTGATATTCATAATTATAATTTTGATATAGGATCTCTTTCATTCCATTAAAATCCTTATGAAAATGAGTTTAATCATTTATAAATTTTAGTTAATTGTTCATAATCTAATACCTAAAAGGAATTATTATATTTAATCAAAGCTAGAAGTTATAAATGTTAATTAGGAGAATTCTATGTAGATGAAGGTTGCTAAATTTGTTAATCTATTAATGGATTTTATTCAGTAACTTACAATGCAACAAAGTGTTCTATTTTTGATAAAAATAAATTTGCAAATATAACTTCTAATGAAATTTAACTATTAGAAGGATATTGGAGACCTCATTCTTACTCTGATTATATTGATGCTTGTTACAACAATATGAAAAATTGTCAAGGTGGATGGAAAATTGGAAATGATCTTTGCAGTATAGGATACCTAGGTGGATTATGCGAGGAATGTGATAGTAATGATATTATGGGGAATGGAAATTTTTTTAAGAATAAATAGGATTCCCAATGTTATGATTGCAGATATGCCACTAATCATATTTTAGCAATTGTTTTCACTTCATTTTGGTATGAATTTAAAAATATTCAAGGGCTATTATATCTATAGTAATAACATTAAAAAGTATAGAAAAATCAAAGTAACTTTTTAATTCTCTTTGGATGAAATAAAGATTTAACAAAACTTTATTTAAATTGAATTAAGGTACATTTATACTATTAATATTTTAGATTTAGAAGGTATTTTTATCAAAATGTTATTAAATTATTTATGGATATTTTCAGTGATATTTACTTTTAATATCAAATTTTCATTTTCTTTTTCCTTTATTGATTAAACCAGTAATACATCAAATTTTTTGGCTTTCAGTATTGATTGCATTTTATAAATTTTTTCTCAGATTGAACTCATCTATGTTAGGATAATGGCTAATTTATTTTTAATTTTTATTTAATTTGTAATCATTTTGATTGGTTATTCAGTTTATACAATCATTTTTGGAACAATCTTAGATGTAAGTATTATATCAAATACATTATTATATCTGTATGTGTCAAATTACTCAGGCTTAATTAAATAGTATTATATTATTTATCATAAGATTTTGTTCAATTATATCCTAAAGGGTAATATCCAACATTCCTTATATTTAAGGTGATCTACGTTTATAGTTTGGCGCTTCAAATCATTATTAATGGATATATTATTTTGCTATTCCAGGGTTGATATTATTTGGTTTGTTAATTCCTTCTTTTTTATTATTGCTTCTTCAATTCAAAAAAAAATAGTTTTATAAAATTTCAATTAGAAAACACATTTGTTACCTAATTAATGAATATAATGAATAAAGCTACTTTTGGGAATAAATCAAATTTTTGAAAAAAACAATTATTATTCTAATATTAACATATTTTGAAGAAAATATTTTATTAAAAGCATCTTTATTAGGTTCATGCTTATTATTTTATTAATTATTTGCAGGAAAATAACAACCCTACATATTATAAAATTTAAATAAAATGGATATCTAAAGTGGATAAATTTGTTCACTTGCTATATTTACTGCTACTGCAAAATATTCAAGTAACTAAGATATTAGTCTGATATCTAATTTGTTATCAATTTTAATTTTATGTCTCTGTATAAAACTTTGCTATTCATTTATTTTTTAGATTCTTAGAGGGTATATTAAAAAATATTAGATAAAATTTATTGAAATGCTTTACAATATTGTTCATTATCTACAAGAGGATTCTAGAGTGACAAATTATCTCAACAACAAAATTAAAAGATTAAAACTTAAAGAAGAAAGATTAAAATCAAATATATCTGTTTTATAAAAATATTTTTAGACATTTTCAAAAGCAAAAATTAATCATTAAAAATTATTAATAGTTCACTAGCTTAAATCCAATAATTCATAAACTCAAGGTCTATTATAGTTTAATTAAAAAAATGAAAAGGATTATATTGAAAATAGAATTATTCTATGAAAGATGATTTAATGAAATTTATTGTATAATTACAAAATTTATTGTATAATTACAAAATTATATATCTTAATTTTAAATTAATTTTTGTTTTACTTTTGTTAATTTTTCTACTTTGATCATAAAGGAGCGAAACTCTCTCTACTTGTTTTTGTAAATTTATTTTTTTTAAATTGCTAACTATTAACTTCAAAATTATTTTAGAAAAGTAACTCTAGTTAGTCAAAGCTCACTGTATTATTATTCCCCTAAATGAAATCAAAATGTAAAAAGATAAAATGATTCAAAATAAAAGTAAATGATAATTTAAAGTTTAAAATTTATGATATGTAAATATTCATATATATCATTGATTAAGATTTTATAGGCAATAACCTATAGAATATTTATTTGAATTTACCTTTTTATTTTAAGGTATCAACAGATTATGAATTGATTGCCAGTGCTTTTTCATACCATTAAATGGCCTATTCATATTGACCCATTTCTTTTAAACATGCACCTTAAAATATTTCAATTATATTTACCTTTGTTATGTAAGCAAATTTCTGATTATGGATTGATGGCCAATGCTTTGTCATACCATTATATAGCCTATTCATATTTACCGATTGAATATAAGCAGGCACCTTTAAATTGTATAATTACATATACCTTTGTCATGTAGACAAATTTCAGATTAAGAATCGACTGCCAATGCTTTGTCATACCATTCAATAGCCTATTGAAATTTTCCCATTTCTCTTAAGCATGAACCTTTAAATATTCAAATTAAATTTACCTTTGCCATGTAAAGATAAAAAATATTGTGGATTGATAGTCAATGCTTTGTCATACCATTGAATAGCCTATTCAAATTGATCCATCCAATATAAGCATTAACCTTAATTTTTTCAATTATATTTACCTTTGAATTGTAAGGTATCTATGAATTGTGGATTGATGGCCAATGCTTTGTCACACCACTCAATAGCCTATTCATATTGACCCATATAATATAAGCATGCGCCTTAAAATATTTAAATTACTTTTACCTTTGTCATGTAAAGATAAGAAATTTTGTGGGTTAATAATCAATGATTTATCATACCATTCTATAGCCAATCCATATTTACCCATTTCTCTTAAGCATGCACCTTAAAATATTTAAATTAAATGTACCTTTATATTGTAAAGTATCCAAAGATTATGGATTGATGGCCAATGCTTTGTCAAACCATTGAATAGCCTATTCAAATTGATCTATCTAATATAAGCATTAACCTTAAATTTTCAATTAAATATACCTTTGTAATGTAAGGTATCTACAGATAATGGATTGATAGCCAAAGCTTTATCAAAGTACTCTAATGCATTTAAGTAATCCCCAATTGTGTATAAATATAACCCTAAATTTATTCCAATTGGTACCAAGTCCATGTAATCCTAAATTAGAATCATTTTTTAAAGTTATTGATTATTCAATATTATGTAAAGCCTCGTCTATCTGATCTATCAAGATTAGACATATTCCTAAAAAAAATATAATACTTTTGAAACCTTTTGCTGCAAATGCATCGGCATGATTAGCATCTATTATTAAACATTAATCATAAACATTTATGGCCTCCTGATATTTTTTTTTAATTCTTAAGCAATTTCCTAATTAATATAGTAATAAATATATTTTACCATAAGCAAAATAATTTTAAAGATTAGATGAATTAATTTCAATAGCTTTGATATAATATTATTATGCTTCATCAAATTTGTTTGTCTCATTTAGACATTCATCTTATTAAATATTAAAAAATTAAACCTCTTCCAAAGTAAGCATCTGAATTTATTGAACTGCATTAGTTATAATATCCATTTGCTTCTTTATAAGTTTATTGGTCACTTAATAAATCAGCTAAATTATTTAATCATTTTTGATACATATTTTTTAGCATGATATATCATGATTTGGATTAATTTTGGATATATCTTAGTATATTTATTTTGCATCTTCAAACTTATTCTATTTGATTACGGCATTAGCTTAAAATATTAATATCAATTAACCTTTTTTATAGATAATTTCTAAATAGTTTGGATCAACTTATTATGATTTATCAACTAATATAATTGATTATTCTGCTTGAGTTTCTGTTTAATCAACTTATCGAATATCTAAATCTGAGATCTCAAATTACTAGTTTGGAAACTAATTTTATTCAAAAATGGGGTTTATATACAAGCTTCTATATTATATTAAATATACTTGTTAGTGACTTTTTATTTAGCTTAAGTTAAATCTTAGTTGTTTTGAATCATTTTATTTATTTAATAAAATTAGGATATAGAAAATGCTTTGAACGACAAAAAAAGAATAAATCAGAAAAAGTAATAAATAAACTTATTGATTAGTAAAAACTATAACATATATATTTATTTAATTGTAGATTTTACTGAAAATGGATTTCATTTAATTACTCTATATAAATTTTTTTTCATATACATTAATATATTCTAAAATTTATTGTAGATTCTGAAAAATGATAAGAAGTTTTACTTAATGAGTAAGAGTCAAATATTTAAAATTTTGATAATTATTATTTTGAAATAATCTAATACGCATAAAATCCTTTAAAAATAAGACTTGTTTGTTGATGAGAAATAAAATTATTCATCAGAATTTCAAAATTAATTATTAAACATGATTACTTGTAAAAAGAAGGACATGATTAATATGATATATTAGTAAGCCAAATTCTTTCTTTTTTTCGATACAAGATTACTATGCATAAAGTTTGTGCAATCAAAAAAGAATAGTGCCGCTCCATGGATTGTCTTAAAAGTAAAGTATTATAAGGTATAATGAGATTTTCAATTTCTATTACTTTACAAAGACTTTTTATTTAAGTTAATGCATTTAAAACTAACTTTCAATTAATTCACTTCAGGGTAAGTATGAGATTAATATTTTACGATCAGCTGCATTAAAAATTACCTTAGGATTTACAAACTCGTTTCTTATATCAGTCTAAATATTTAAGTTATGACATAAGTTACATGATTTTTTTCTTTTGTAGCTCAAATATTTGATACATTTACTTATTTTCTAAAACATCAACAATTGCAACTTAATGCATTAGTTTGATTGGAACAATAATTTGACGATGAATATTTACCTCTATTATATATCACTATTTGTAAAATAGCTTTAAATTTTCTTATTTTCACAATATTTAAGATAAAATTTAAAAAATTGATTAAACAAATTTTCTTAAAATTTTTAGCTAATTCACCTATATACCTATCAAACCATAAAATCGCAAGATTTTCTTTTGAAAACATCTAATAGAGTGACTTTCTATAAATTAGATGCATACTGGGAATAAATATACCATATAAAATAGTTATTGATTGTGAAAACAAACAAATTAAGCATTGAATTCTCCAATTACATTCTTAACAACTAACCCAATATGAAGGGAAAATTTTTTTTATAGATTACATTGTTAGAGAATAAAAATATCAGCATCGAAAATCTAAATCGTTTGTTAGAAATAAAAGAAGGAAAGTTGGCATCATGCCATTATCTAGTATATGAGCAAAATTATTTCTCGATTGAATCATATTTAGATGAAATAATAGATGATGTGTTGTAAAATTCATTGTAGAAAATATCAAATGGTTTAGATTACTGTTATAATGCATAAATGTAAATGGATATTATCCTTATAATAAAATAGTTAATATTAATTCAATAGTAATTAAATAACTTGTAATAAAGAAGTACGTCTCTTGGTTTATTAGATGTTAGGAAAATTATAATTTAGATACCGAAAACAATATTTGTTTAAAATGTTTGACTTTTTAAGAATTCTTACAATATTTCAAATGAGATAAATTAGATAATCATTTTTTTATGTTTAAAATGCATGAATGGATTTTAACTAGATGAATTTTAGTTATGTATTGAATGTTCATAAAATTGTAGATCCTGTAATTTAAAAAGATCAATATAACATTTTTAACGATGGATATTACTTAATTGATAATTCATGTGTTTAATTTCATGATAACTGTATCTAGTGTTAAGATTGGAAAAAAAATTTTTAATCTCAGAAAGGATATTATGTATAAAATGGAATTGCATTGAAATGTATTAATAACAGGCTGGTTTTCTTTAATGAATGTTAAAGAAATGATATTGATTTATTTTGTTATCCATGTTTTTTTAATTGTTAAATATGTTCAAATTAAAAAACTTTTATTCTAACTAATTTTATATGGATAATTTAGAATGCAGAAAATGCTGATTTTCTTGATTAACTTGTTGAAAATAATCTAGATCTCTCTTTTGTATTTTCGAAGAACATAATTATTTTAAAGAGCATCAAAATTGTGCTTAGTGTAAGAAACTATGTAAGACTTGCTACAACCCTACCTGTTATCAATTTTGGCCATCATACCTATTTTCTCTTTTCTTTTATAAATGTATAGATGTTTCCTAATAATATTAAACTCATTAATTTTTGATATTCTTAAAAAATTCAATAGCATAAAAAGAAAAGTGCAATTACATAAATGAATACATTTTTAAGTAAACTTCAATTCTTTAGGTATTTCTCTATTAGTTGTGCTTCACAAAAATCCTGCCACTTTCCATATGTTCTTTAAAAATCTTATTATTCTTAGGGCATTTATTAATAAAATTATGATAATTTAGTATTTTCTATTCTAAGTTTAAAAATTTAGAAAGCTTATCTACTAGAATTTAATTCTTTAATTTACGTTTTATTTATATTATGCTTTTTTTAAACTAAATTACTTGGAAATTTTTCAATTTTTATTTCAAAGACATCAAGAAAAGAGATTCCAAATATTATTTATTAGATTCCTTTTATACTCTTCATGATGAAGCAATAAAAGACAAAAAAAAATATAATTACTGTAGATTAATCCCAGATACTTTATTTCTTCAAATAAGGTTCTATTGTAGCTCATTAAAAAGGAAAAATGTAGATTTACATGAGCCAAATTTCATAATCTAACATCCTTTTGAAAGAAAAGACCCATAGAGATTACTGGAAATAATCCGAACATTGACTTCCCTAGTCTCACTCAAACTATTTTTTTCTAAACAAAAAGAGAAGTGGTGAAACTAGACTTAGAATTCAAAAGGATTTGAAATCACACCTTTCCGCTGTACTTCAATACCCGACTGCATTCTGAAAACTTACAGTCATAAGACATTTAGGCCTCAAAGCAATTTTTTTTAACTTACTATTTTTTACTATTTATATGTAAAATAAGGGATTCTCTTTAACTGTATAGGAAATGAATTGGAACCTTTAATATTTTAAGTTCAATCCTTACATTATGATTCCTTTCTATAATTGTTAAATTTCTGTCTATCCTACATCTATTTAAGAATCTCTAAATTATAAAATGAGTATTGCTGTTCATTTATAATTTTTATTTTAGACATAATTTAATTACTATTCTTCAAATTCTTATTGTAATTCTCAAACTGTTTGCTTATGTATTTAGTTTAGTTCATTTTAACCATTTGATATTTTTTTTGTAACTCATTCAATGAGAAATATTAAAAAAATTGAATCTACTATGACCATTCTCTGTTAAATTTTCTAACCATTTAGAACTACTTAATGATATAGGTTTAACCCCATATAATTTAACATTATTATTCCTTTAAATACTTTTAATATCTTTTTTACCTAGATTACATGAAACTGTAAGTTTATCAATTTTCTCTAATGATTCACTTGGTGCAATTCAATCTTTCAACTTTTTTCTTTTCAATCAATTCTGATATACCAAATCTTTACATTATTTAATATTGAACATCTTAAGATTGAATCTAATTTGAAGAGTTTCTACGTACTTAAATGATCAAATTTCCACGATAAAATAAAAAAAAAATTAATACAAAATGAAGTTTTAATTAAAAATATTTAGATTATAGAAATGCATAAGCAACAATTTTATTCGTCAAATAACCATTCACCACTATATTATATACCATTAGCTGATTCATATTCCCCCAATCCATGTCTTTAATCATCTATCCAATCCCCATAATAATCAGATCCATCAGTATATATCATTTTACCCTTCCCATGTTTATTATTATTTTAGAAATCCCCTTAATATTCATTTCCATTAGAGTCTATATATTAACCCTTTCCATGCATTTGATGACATACCCAATCTCCATCGTATTTATGTCCATCAGCCCATTTATATTAACCCTTTCCATGCATTTCATTTTTTTTCCACTCTCCATCATATTCATCTCCATTTGCCCATTTAAATTTACCCTTTCCAGCTTTTTCATCATTTTTCCAATTTCCATAATATTCATGTCCATCAGACCATTTTAATAAACCCATTCCATGCATTTGATTGTATACCCAACCTCCCTCATACCAACCTTCATCACGATATATCCTAACATGTTCACCATGCAAGCCATAAGATGTGCTCATCTCCTAAAATTAATATATTTTATAGAGAAATAATTGATAGTATTAGAAATTTAAATGTCATTGAAATCTATTATAAAATTTAGATTTAATACCAGTAAAACATTTATTTATTGCCATCATTTAATTATAAAATAAACCAATCATTCAATGTCTAAACTGATTAAACACTCAACAGATATTATTTCGAAATTGATTATTTGTACTAAATAATTCTTATTAATAATGATTATAGGTTTACCAAATTTTAAATTTAGACATAAGTGTCATAAATATGATTATATAAAATGAATAAAAATAAAGCATTACAGGTAAGAAGTAGAATTAAAGTATGTTTTAGAAATTATTGATGATTCTTATTTGAATTGATCTTTTTGGTAATCTATAAATTCATATGGCTAAATAAATTTTATTATCTCATAAAGTTTTTATAATATTAGAATTTTTAGGTATATATATATATTCATGCTCGATTGTAAATTAATCGTGTCTAATTTTTTTTGTACACCAAGATCAAACAGGTTGATTTTAATTTTTATCTTATTTAAACTTTGAACAATAAAATTTAATAATATTATTATAATAAATTAAGTTATTTGAATTCTCAATTTGCATGATGTAAAATTAAAATGGTTTATTTTCAAATTGCCTCTAATTTATATGAAAACAGATCAATATAAAATCTTTTACTAATTTAATAAAAGCCCAAATANATATCAGCATCGAAAATCTAAATCGTTTGTTAGAAATAAAAGAAGGAAAGTTGGCATCATGCCATTATCTAGTATATGAGCAAAATTATTTCTCGATTGAATCATATTTAGATGAAATAATAGATGATGTGTTGTAAAATTCATTGTAGAAAATATCAAATGGTTTAGATTACTGTTATAATGCATAAATGTAAATGGATATTATCCTTATAATAAAATAGTTAATATTAATTCAATAGTAATTAAATAACTTGTAATAAAGAAGTACGTCTCTTGGTTTATTAGATGTTAGGAAAATTATAATTTAGATACCGAAAACAATATTTGTTTAAAATGTTTGACTTTTTAAGAATTCTTACAATATTTCAAATGAGATAAATTAGATAATCATTTTTTTATGTTTAAAATGCATGAATGGATTTTAACTAGATGAATTTTAGTTATGTATTGAATGTTCATAAAATTGTAGATCCTGTAATTTAAAAAGATCAATATAACATTTTTAACGATGGATATTACTTAATTGATAATTCATGTGTTTAATTTCATGATAACTGTATCTAGTGTTAAGATTGGAAAAAAAATTTTTAATCTCAGAAAGGATATTATGTATAAAATGGAATTGCATTGAAATGTATTAATAACAGGCTGGTTTTCTTTAATGAATGTTAAAGAAATGATATTGATTTATTTTGTTATCCATGTTTTTTTAATTGTTAAATATGTTCAAATTAAAAAACTTTTATTCTAACTAATTTTATATGGATAATTTAGAATGCAGAAAATGCTGATTTTCTTGATTAACTTGTTGAAAATAATCTAGATCTCTCTTTTGTATTTTCGAAGAACATAATTATTTTAAAGAGCATCAAAATTGTGCTTAGTGTAAGAAACTATGTAAGACTTGCTAATTCCAAATGATTTAGATACAGATGTGAGAGTTGAAAGATTGAAATTTGATCTAGGAAAATATAATATGTGTGAACTATTTATTTGACGATATTAAAACAACCAAAAGATTTCATTAATTAATTGATAATATAATATTTAACAGAAACTCAGGATTATTATTATTTAATTCCTCCCCTTCTTTTTAATTAGCCAACTTATTTGTTATTTCTTTTACTCTAATCATATCTTCTGTTTTCTTTTCTATTATCTCTATCATCTTTTCGATTGCTGCAATTTTTCTTTCATCTATTTTACCTCTATTTCCTTTTGGAGATCTTTATCTTTCAGGCTTAATTGTTTAAATTTGTTCAGGGGGGAAAAGTTCCTTTATTATCATTTTGATATACATGAAATCCTGGTTCTTTCTATCTTGTTCAGTTGGTGTCTTTCTTAATATTATTTGTAAAGATGCTAATTTTCTCGTAACTTAAACAGTCACAAGTCTACCTCTAAGGGTTTATAAACTTCCTTTACTAGTGCCTTAGAATAGCCAAAAAGCTCTTCTAACATAATTAGATGATTAGACACTATTTGTCACTCTGATGACATTCTCTTCCGGCTTTTAGTTATCAACGACAGTACTTTATAATTTCTTTTTGTGGCCATATTAATTATTAATAAAAATCTTTTTAAGTAATTTAAACAAATCTAAATAAATCAAAATAGAATCATTTATTTATAAGATTTTATAATAAATATGATAATAATCATTTGAAATTATGAAGACAAAATCTAAAATAGTATTTTAATATTTTATTATATATTTTAATAGAAATCACTTTTAATGACTTGAAATTTATTTAATAAATAGGATAGACTTTGAATATGGAAGAAAGGTATAGTTTGAATTTCTAAAGGTAGAATAAAATTAAAATTGGCAATTCTATAGATTCAAAAACATTATACATTCGATGAAGTATTGTTTTTGGAAAGAGCGAAAGGAGTAGACAAAGATTATTACATAGCGAAGGTAATTCAATATCAAGAATAATACAAGTTTCCATTGAAAAAATTCTATCGGAGGTATTCAATCTAAGAAGAATGAATTTAGTTCTAATAATTATCACTTTAATGAGTTACCAAAATTTGATGAAGCTTATGCATTAAGAGCTGATAACTTAGTAATCTTCTATTTCTTACTCATTACTTTTAAGCTTATTTCTTTCACATCTTTCCTTTCATTTAAGATTTTCCTTCTATTTTTATTGATTTAGTACCTTTCATTGTATTTGGATATATTCATTTGGAAAATTTTACTTTTTTTTCATGTTTTTCCATTTAAGTTCATAACGATTTTTACTCATTTTTTACATTTGATTTTGATACATTACTTTTGATTTGCCCTTATAGCGAATGAGAGGTAATAAATAGGAAAGATTTTCATAATTGATTGGAAATTGAAAATAGAAAAATATATAAAAGATCAGGAAAGAAAATTTGCTTTGTATATTGATTATTATTCCATTATCTTTGACAATCATTGCATTATCTTAATGAAATTTAAATAATAAATGAACTTAAGAAAGAGATAATATAATATTTTAAGATAAAAATTAATTACATTTAGGATTTTAAAATAGAAATTGATATAATAGAATAAGACAGGATAAAAAGTTAAGGCAATTTGAATATTGGTAATTTAAATTTTCATAATCATTTTTACTTGTAATCTAACGGGCTTTCCAAAATAAAGCTACCTTTTTGGCTGAATAATGTGAATAAATTGATCCCTGATGTATTTTCAATTTCACCTTTCAAGATTAAAGCACCCTATGCTTAAAAAATAGTTTATTAGGATATTAATAAAAAATTTAGATTGGTTGTTCCTAAAAAATGTTAGAATTTATACGTGGAGAAGCCCTATTTTAAAATAGTGGTGTCTGAAACTAGTATAAAAAATATTTGTAATCATTATCAGAGGATTGAATTTCTTTTCCTGTTTTAACATCCCATAAACGGATAGAGTTATCTTCACTACTTGATGCTAATGCATTTCCATCAGGAGAGAAGCAGACTGACCAGGCATCACTAGTATGACCATCTAATGTGGCTTATTATTATCCTGCTTTGACATCCCAGAGGCGGATAGACTTATCATTACTACAAGATGTTAATGTATTTCCATCAGGTGAGAAACAGACTGAGTTAATACAACTAGTATGACCATCTAATTGGGCTTTTTATTATCCTGCTTTGACATCCCATAGACGGATAGACTTATCATTACTACCAGATGCTAATGTATTTCCATCAGGAGAGAAACAGACTGACATAATTTCTCTTGTATGACCATCCAATTTGGCTTTTTATTATCCTGTTTTGACATCCCATAGACGGATAGAAGAATCATTACTACCAGAAGCTAATGTATTTTCATCAGGAGAGAAACAAACTGATACGACAGTGCTAGTATGACCATCTAATTTGGCTTTTTATTATCCTGTTTTGACATCCCATAGACGGATAGACTTATCATCACTACCAGAAGCTAATGTATTTCCATCAGGAGAGAAACAGACTGACTAGACAGTACTAGTATGACCATCTAATTTGGCTTTTTATTATCCTGTTTTGACATCCCATAGACGGATAGACTTATCATCACTACCAGAAGCTAATGTATTTCCATCAGGAGAGAAACAGACTGAGTAGACAGTACTAGTATGACCATCTAATTTGGCTTTTTATTATCCTGTTTTGACATCCCATAGACGGATAGACTTATCATCACTACCAGAAGCTAATGTATTTCCATCAGGAGAGAAACAGACTGAGTAGACAGTACTAGTATGACCATCTAATTTGGCTTTTTATTATCCTGTTTTGACATCCCATAGACGGATAGACTTATCATCACTACCAGAAGCTAATGTATTTCCATCAGGAGAGAAACAGACTGAGTAGACAGTACTAGTATGACCATCTAATTTGGCTTTTTATTATCCTGTTTTGACATCCCATAGACGGATAGACTTATCATCACTACCAGAAGCTAATGTATTTCCATCAGGAGAGAAACAGACTGAGTAGACAGTACTAGTATGACCATCTAATTTGGCTTTTTATTATCCTGTTTTGACATCCCATAGACGGATAGACTTATCATCACTACCAGAAGCTAATGTATTTCCATCAGGAGAGAAACAGACTGAGTAGACAGTACTAGTATGACCATCTAATTTGGCTTTTTATTATCCTGTTTTGACATCCCATAGACGGATAGACTTATCATCACTACCAGAAGCTAATGTATTTCCATCAGGAGAGAAACAGACTGAGTAGACAGTACTAGTATGACCATCTAATTTGGCTTTTTATTATCCTGTTTTGACATCCCATAGACGGATAGACTTATCATCACTACCAGAAGCTAATGTATTTCCATCAGGAGAGAAACAGACTGAGTAGACAGTACTAGTATGACCATCTAATTTGGCTTTTTATTATCCTGTTTTGACATCCCATAGACGGATAGACTTATCATCACTACCAGAAGCTAATGTATTTCCATCAGGAGAGAAACAGACTGAGTAGACAGTACTAGTATGACCATCTAATTTGGCTTTTTATTATCCTGTTTTGACATCCCATAGACGGATAGACTTATCATCACTACCAGAAGCTAATGTATTTCCATCAGGAGAGAAACAGACTGAGTAGACAGTACTAGTATGACCATCTAATTTGGCTTTTTATTATCCTGTTTTGACATCCCATAGACGGATAGACTTATCATCACTACCAGAAGCTAATGTATTTCCATCAGGTGAGAAACAGACTGAGTTAATACAACTAGTATGACCATCTAATTTGGCTTTTTATTATCCAGTTTTGACATCCCAGAGACGGATAGACTTATCATTACTACCAGATGCTAATGTATTTCCATCAGGAGAGAAACAAACTGATACGACAGTGCTAGTATGACCATCTAATTCTACTTGTTATTATCCTGTTTTGATATCCCATAGACGGATAGACTTATCACCACTACCGGATGCTAATGTATCTCCTTCAGGAGAGAAACAGACTGACCAGACAAAATTAGTATGACCATCTAATTTGGCTTTTTATTATCCTGTTTTGACATCCCAGAGACGGATAGACTTATCATCACTACCAGATGCTAATGTATTTCCATCAGGTGAGAAAAAGACTGAGTTAATACAACTATTATGACCATCTAATTTGGCTATTTATTTTGCTGTTTTGACATCCCATAGAAGGATAGACTTATCATTACTACCAGATGCTAATTTATTTCCATCAGGAGATAAACAAACTGATACGACAGTGCTAGTATGACCATCTAATTTGGCTTTTTATTATCCTGTATTGATATCCCAGAGACGGATAGACTTATCACCACTACCAGATGCTAATGTATTTCCATCAGGAGAGAAACAAACTGATGCTAGGCTATTTATTTTGCTGTTTTGACATCCCAGAGACGGATAGACTTATCACCACTACCAGATGCTAATGTATTTCCATCAGGAGAGAAACAAACTGATACGACAGTGCTAGTATGACCAACTAATATTGCTTTTTATTATCCTTTTTTGACATCCCAAAGACAGATAGACCTATCATCACTACCAGAAGCTAATGTCTTACCATCAGGGGAGATACAGACTGATCTCACACAACTTCTATGACCATCCAATTTATTCAATTCATGGATTTTAATGTTCTTCCATTTACAATTAAACAACTAAGCACCATTAAAATTGACTCCACTTATGTCTACATTCTCCAATACAGATCCATTCAAATTGCATCGTACAAAGTTTCCTCCAATTATAGATGTATTCTTGATCCGTATATTCTCTAAGCATTGATTCTTTAGATCTACCTTCATCAAGACCAATAAGTGAAGTGAATTGGATCCACATTATATGAATCGATCATCTATACTAGTAAGTTGGACCAATAATTTTAGTAATTCAATCATGTTCCTATTAACTGATATCTTCTTGATAAAATTATTTTTTATTTCATGAAATTCTTTTGTGGAGTAATCTTTTTAATTGAATTCATGTTCCTTTATGTTCTTCAAAATCTTAATTATCTTCTTAATTTATTCCTTCCCCTCATGAACTTAATGTCTAAGTGATTATAGATATGCAACACAATCTTAAATTTACTCCTTCTTGAACACATCTAAGAGTTGCTTGTAAATGGATGATGACTTATCATTAATAATAATCGAATTAGCCTTGGTAAAAATTTGTAAGAGATCCTCCTATCTTTCAAACACCTCCTCTTTCTGTACTACTTCTTTCTTTTACTTTATATATCTACAAAGAGATGATTAATATTACTTTACCTAAATGATGGAGTTTCATCAGTAGTGAAATTGATGATCACATCTATTTTCACTTGAGGAGGATCAGGTAATTTGACAACTTTAGTACTTGTGTTATGCTCCTTCTCTTTTATAGGTGCTGGCTTTAAACACAATTCATCATAAATGGAGTCGATAAAGACATTGACTCGATGGTATGATTCCTAATGAGAGATGGTTAAAAAATAACGCTTACATCTATAAATCGATCAAACGTTTGGATGCACTGCTTAGTTAAAGCTTTCATATCTTCTGTATACTGTTCTGGCAAAGATACAGATTGCATTGTAAAATTAAAGATATTTAAATTAATTATTTTTATTTCTATTAAAAAGGTATTAATATATAGATTAATATATTAATTTATAGATTGATTATTTGTAATCTAATTATTATTATTTATATTAATCTTAATGGATAAAAGATTTAGTATTAGTATTAGTTCTAAGTAGTATTTAATATTATTATATTAGTATTTTGGAAGAATAATTAAATCATTATAAACACATATATATGTATA